TTTTTGCAAAAGTAGCTATAAAACATTATATAACACCTCTTTTATGCTCCGGCGAAGCCCTTATCTTCTATTTGATTTTTTTTCGCGCACGCCAAAAGCAGTTTCAAATAGAATATGGAAATTCAGAATATTCGGGAATATCTTCTATCTTTGAGTCTTGGATTATAATAGTTGTAGGATTCTAGGATCATTACACGTTGTACAATAAATGTGTCTCGTATATTTAGTGGTGTCTTCTGGCTGGAAATCTTACAAACTCTTATGGAAATCGAAATCTCGCAATTCAATTTAAGCCAAGCCACACTTTCCTGGTGCATTGCCCTTCTCCGGACATGTTGTTTCCACTCTGATGTGACATGAAAACAAACGATGCAAAATCCCACCCAAAACATTCTCACTATATCACATATCATAAACGATGGTATTATAGTATAAATTATGGCATATATACAGAAACCCACATGGTGCATCATAGGCGGCTGAGAAAAAAATAGCGAAACAAATTCTGAACCCTACGATGTGAAATTTGTGTTGGACTTGTCTCCAGGCCTGGACCGGAACAGGTGAAAAAGAACGTGTTGAACTTGGCCATTTAGAAGTTTGAGACGTTCTCTACTTCACATGGAGGTTCTGCAAGTCCAAATTCTGTCATAGGTATGTACCAGAGTCTATCTAGTCTATCTTGAGAAAACTTAAGTTGTAGTTAGTTGGTTTTAACTTAACATATCTCAGTCTCAGTTATCTCAGCAATTATATGCTCAGACTCTTCTGCAGCGCGTGCATTCGTTCTGCGGCGGATGTAGAACCCTGAACTTAATTGAACTTATATAAATGTCAACATGCCTTCAACGATTCAGTCTTCTTTCAGGCCAGTCTGGGTCTGTCTCGAATTACTCTAAAGTATGTTAAGCCTGCCAATATGGCTGCGAGAACCAATGTAAACAGAATTAGTGAACAATACAACAACGCGTTAAAACATGTTAAAGCAATACATGACCAATTTAGATTGACATCCCTTGCGTTTCACTTCTTCATATTCAATCAGGGTTCCGGGATCTTGATCTAGACCTGAAACATTCTGGACTTCTTTCTCCATCTGCCCGGGCGCAACATGGTTGATGACAAGGACAAACAGCACGGCTGCAAAGCCGTTCACCAGGAAAGAAGCCAGGAATCGCGGCCACGCCTTTGAAAGTACGGTCATCAAATGTGGTTGGGCAGTTGGTTTCAAGATGTTTCCAGCTAACAGCTGGTCCAAATGTCCTGGATCCGCGGCTGAAAATGATTGTAAAGGATAAAGAACCGAAAGACATACAGCTACTGTCACACTTGCAGCAGGTTGCAATCTTTGCAATGCGGCAAAGGTGAAGGAACGTCTCCGTCATGGTCAATTTCCCAAACCTAAGTCTGCGTTTCTGAAACTTCCAACTGCCAGGAAGCAGAGTTCCAAGACTCTCTAAGAATTAGCTCAGGCACATGTTCTGGTTCAGCAAGGGGTCATGCTGGTCATCTGGCAAATCATCCTGTTCCAGAAAGGCACCACCACTGCTGAGGATGCGCTCGACAATCCTTGCGGGGTGTCAGTAACATTTACAGCATAATCATATACTAGTAAGCAAAGGGGGCACTAGCATTCACATGGTAACACAGAAATGTTCTGCACACCAACAAATCAGGACAGAAAGTGCGCAATGCGCCTTTGCAATCAAAAAGGTCAACCAAAAGCAATGCACAAGGCTCTGTCGAGCTTTCTCTTCTCCTTTCTCATGAGCAGTGGAGCGTATCAGCCTTATGGCACTGTCTGCAGCTTCACTTCCACCAAGACGGAAGGTTGTTCCTGGCTGCCTCAATATCCGGGAACAGCATGAGATCCCACCCCAATGGAGCAGTCCGGATTGTTGACGAACACTTTCTGATCCATACAAGGCTGCATGGTTCAATTTTAAACATATATTCATTTTTCACTCTGCCAGATCTGGATCTGCAAATAAAATAGCTGAGGCAAGGAACCCAGCAGCACTCATCTACATCCACACCGTGCCTATGATTGAAGAACTACCCTTCTCAAAGTCAAAGGGGTTGAGACGGGATTGATTGGAATTCAACAGACCTTGAAACCTGCAGGCTTGGCTTCCCTCAATTATATACACGTGGGGAACTGTACCGTACCAGCATCATGAGCCAAGGCTGACATTGATTGCACACCGCCACCCACATGATTTTCATCAAGCGGCGTCTGCTCAAATCCTGAGTGCAACTCAACTCGCAACTCTGCCCCAAGCAGTCCAACGGTGAGGTTGTGCCCATCAATGTATGAGTTCAAGAGTGTCTAATATGCCATGCCCAAAAGAAAGCAGTACACAATTTTATTAAATACACACTTATACTAAAATACATCATGTAGATTGGCTTGGACCTGCCCAGCTTCGTGCGGTTGAAGAAGTCAACGAGCCACCCTCTGCTGCAATGGCCGTCCGGGATTGAAGGCGTCGCAAGCGAGTGAGGTGCTCCCGAGAAGGGTGCTCCAGCTGACCGGCATCCGTGTGACCCTGCAGAATCTCAAAGGATCTCAAGGGTAAAGAGTTGGGCATCTCAGTTAGGAGCTCAAATTTCACATGCTTTTGACATGTTTTTGACATCGTTGTGGAAAATCCGCTGGGTCCCGTACAACTGGACTGCAGTTGAGTCGCCAGTTATCAACCAATGCAATGCGGCAATGCGACTACTGATGGGTCACCCGGAAGATGTTCGTTGCAGCGTTGCAATTCTGGGGGCTATTGTTTGGCAAGGACAGTTTTCCTGCTATTGTGGTTGGCCCCCATGAGAAACAACACCAGGTGTCACTGTGTTTTTGTTGGTTGTTGGTGAGAGCCCCTACGAAACAAGACATGGAGTGATGGATAGTCACGGTGGTTGCTTCTGTTGGCAACCTCCTCAGATGAAATTGCAGATTCGAGAGAAGACTCAGAAGGACCAAAGAACGAGGAACATGATGTCTTGTGGTTGTTGTTTTTGTTGCGTCACGGATGCATATGAGAGTGTAAGCAGGAGTCTTTAGGTCATCACTGTCATCACAGTGTGTTTGTTTGGGGTTGGTCGCAACAGCACGAGGCTTTTCCTCTCCAATTGGGGAGGGGAAAGGAGATTAAACGGGGTTATTGTTGACGATGATGTTTTTGTAGCTGGCCAGTTGTTCAGACAGCTTCATTCAAACAAACGCCCGGCGGATCTGTCAGTTCCAGGAACTGTTAAGTTTCACTGAGAATCTAGGAACCAAATCATTACTGTAGTAGTAGCGTCCTACTTCATAGCTACTAGCTACCCCCCCGGGCTTTAAACAATTGGATTAACAAAACAATACTAGTACCTCATAACGGGCAACAAAAAAGTAAACCCTCTTCCCTGATCTCGCCTTCAGCCCAGCTGTCAGGGGGGTGTCGGCAATGACATATGGCATGAGAAACGTCTCGTCCAGAACCATGCGGTGGAAGCGAAAATCCCGGAAGATGCTGATGCGAGTCCGAGCTAACTGCTCGGCATACCTAGCATGAAATGGGCATGAATCATGAAGGACCAAGAAGGAACACACATCTGAGAAACTGAAACGTAGCAATGCTGTAGTTTAGACCACCTACAGAAGCTGGCAGTGCATAGCTATGCCAGCTATGCAACATATTCATCGTGGGTCACATCTTCACACTCTGAGTTTGTAGTAGCTATTTGTTACTACTAGTAAGGCACTTGTTACTAGAAGCGTGGCACTTGTTCCTAGTAGCGTCCTTGTTACTACTAGTAAGGCACTTGTTGCTACTAGCGATGCACCTGTTACTAGTAAAGAAAAGAATCACAATCATATCATTATCACTCAATTAGGTGTTGATTCTCCAAGCTTGGCCCTCATGCCCCGCAACGTTTGTGTGAAAGTAGTCGAACACAATATATATATATATATACATGTTAATAGTTGGACATCTAAGAGTCACTGTACGTGTCTTCGAAACTAGAAAGGTGGTGCAGCCGGTGTAAGTTACAAAAAAACATCAAAAGGTAAATCTCCCCAAACAAAGCCAAACACACGTAGCCTCTCTACATCTTGAAACACATGTGTTCGTCTGCATCAATCGATTGGCAACACAATCATAGTTCTGGACAACTGATATGAGCAAGTACTGAGATGTGTATGCTAGGCTGCTAAGCTAATCCGGGTCAATTTCTTGTCGAAACCCTGCTTGGACGGAATACGGAAATGATGGAATATGCATCAAAGTCTGCCCAAACTGCAAAGGTCCTTCCAGCTCTTGTGTAACACAACTCCTCAGCTTGGCTCAGCTCGGCTGCTTTGCTTCTTTCCATTTCTCAACTGCCGCTGAGTCGAAGTCGCTTTCAAGCTCCAAGCGGTAGCCATGTCCTCAGTAAGACCATACCGAAAATGGACAATGGTCCAATTAGACCCATGAACAAAATGATCAATCTTTGTCGCTTTTCTAGGTTCAATATGTTGGTCAGGTGTGTAGTTCTTAGTTAATTACTACACATATCATCACATATCTACAAATGCTAAGCAAATCCTACGAGCCAGTGAAGGCCTACCCAACCTTCGCAGTGACAAGACACGCGAGATCAAAGAGTTCACGTAGGCATAGCACTCACCCCAAAGCACGTGCGGAAACTGCTGGTGGTCCACAAAACCCAGTCGAAGCAACTCGGTGTATACTTTCCTCAGGAGGGGAGTGCAACAGCAACCATGTATCGGCATGTATCGGCTCAAGGGAGAGTCAAGGGCATTCTAGATATGTACGGCTGCCAAGTTGAAGGATTGCAACATCGCGCATGTTGACAAGACTAGCACCCCGATACTCAAAAGGTAGGCAAACAAGAATTGCAGCCCGGCATCATGTACATCTCATTGCCCTTCGCTTTGCAAAACACCTGGCCAGTCTGGTACAATGGCAGCATGGTTGCAGTTGCATAAATATATAAGGCGATCTTCCCACACAGTGGCTTGATTCAACAGCCACTTCACTTGACTTGCCAAAGGCACATGATAACCTTCCTACAGCCTGCTTACAACCGATCTGAGCTACAAGTATATAACAAGCAACAGACACGCGCGCGCGCGTGCGCGCGCGAAGCCTGAAAGAGTGTCATTTTTGGCAACTTTTGAGCTCTGTAAAATTTGGTCGTGGCTTCGCTCAGCTCGACGATCCTGGCTGCAACTGCTTTGAGCGCAGTGGAGCACCCGGGCAGCTCCATAGCAAATGGAACTGGAGGGCCTCAACTATTACAATATCACATACTACATGCCGTATATCCACTGCTTTCTATAGATTTAGCACATTCTAGCACATATCTCGCTCCTGGCACGGCCCTTCATCCACTGAATGATGGCACGGCCAACAGCGCGGGGCTTTGCCACCACATTGCCAAGGTCATCCAGGGTGCTGTTGTCAGACCTAAAAAGAAAGCAGCCATACGAGCATGTTGTCATATGCCAAAACTTTGCCATGTGTATGCATGGGCGCTGCAACTGGAACCCATCGTCTCCTGTCTGTTCTACAGCCATCGGATGCACATCAATGAGGAGCCGATCATTTGGCACAAAATGCACTAGCCAATCCGAGGCACGCAGCAGCAGGCGCAGTCTTGCTCTGCAAGGTGTGCTTGTGACATATTTGCGCATTGATTAGGAAGACCCGGCCGGCACCATCCTGAGCCAACACAAGAAGATCCGGCTTGCAGCGTTAAGCTAAGCTCTATATGTTGGCCTCCTGGTTGCAAACATGTTTATATACACTAGAGCATATATATATATATATATATACATTCTTGGAACATTACATGAGATGGAATGAGGGAACGTTTTCATTCAACCTAGTTTGCGGTTGTGATTTCTGATTTTGTTTGGCATGGGATTGCTCGATTGCTCCCTCTCACCTGGTCCTCCGCAACCCCAAACTGTGTTCTCGGGTAAGAACGCTTGTCCATGGGGGTTGGTGGCCAATGAGGGACAAAGCGAATTGGATCACTACTGGATGAGACGTTTTGGTTACTGGGAGCAAGGACGCTACTAGTACTAGTAACAAGAAGCTACGAACGAGGCTCCTGGCCGCACTGCTTCAGTTTCGGCTCCCTCACTCCTTCAGGTGGGAGGGAGCCGAATATTTTGTGTCGTGTTCTTCCATCTGAGGTTTTCCAAAAAAGCACAAGCAAAGAGTAATCACAGGTCTTGAGGAGGTTGTAAATAAATACCTGAAGGATTTACGGCCATTCTCCTTTGATCCCCTTATGGTATCCTATTGATTTCAGGTTGATTTGTTCATTTTTTGGTTCTTTCTCCCAAGAAGACAAGGCCTCGCACACAGTTTCTTTCGACATGAGCTCCGAGCTCCTTGAGAATTCTTCCAAGGTGGAGCTGATTCATCGAGATCCAAATCCGTCCAGTATCAAAATAATGCCAAGTGTCAGATACAATAATACACTGGTTCTGGGTCAAGTCCCGCGTGGCCAGAACATGGGGAATGGTGTCGTAAGAGTACTCCACATCTTGTGCCTCGACAGGAATGCCTGGCCGGCTGAGGGTGCTGCTCGGAATAAGGTACATGAGCCTGACATTGAATTTGGATGAATTTGGTGTGTCCGGTGTTTTTGAGTTGCTTGATGGGCGCATAGAACTTGAGAAGAGAAGTTGCACCAAAGGGAGGACTGCTGAACGGGTGGTGCGTGATTCAGCTAGCAAATCCAAAGCAAGGGGGGAATATATAGTGGGGATACACAACGCAAATCTGGCGATCCTTGTCAGCGCCGTGCCTCCAATTGACAAACCTGCATCAACAAGTTCTTTCATTTCAGCCTTCTGCTGCTCTTCACCATCTTGCAGAAAACAAATAAGGTCAATGTCATTGAAACCTGTCAGGCAGGCTTGCATCAATGCTCCACTGTAGGAATGCTCTTGCTCTCCAGGCAGGGGGCTTCGTGCAACAACTAGTCGAGCCAGCTGCTACAGCATGACCAACCAAGCCAATCCAAACAAGTGAGCCAGGCTTAAATGTTGCCTTTGTGTGTGCTGTGCTTGAAGACCATGGAGAGACGGGAAGAACGAGCAAACGTCAATAGCTTCGTGCTTTTGTTCTTTCTCTCTCCCTCTCACTCATTGATTTACTCATATTAACTCACACTGTGAGTAACTATGTGCCCGCCAGTGTTTGCGACACATAGAAACATCAAACCATTATGTGTCTACATGTTTCTACAGCAGCTTTGCGGGCAGGCTATTATCATTCTCCAGCAGGACACTTGGAACCTTGAATCTCGGACTCCAAATCCGGATTGCCACGTTCAAGCCATAGGATTTTCGCCACCAATCGTGCAATCCCACCTCTGAAGAGCCGGCTTCGTATCATACGAAGGGAATCGGGAACAAGCATGTATAATCCATCAACCAAAAACTCACCCAAGCTCCAACCACTGTAGGAGAAAAAACTATATAATTATATATATTAATGTTTATAAATCTATAAGGTGCTTGCTGTCAATGGCTCACGCACTGGCAAGAGTACGGCCGATCTTAAACCAGTGCCGTCGTGCATCGGTGTGCCTTTGTAGCCAGTGAAAGGATGTTTGGCGATCCATTCCAAAAGCTCTTGTAGTGGAAGGGTGGCCTCATCGCCTCAAAAGGTGCACTTTTTCCTTCGTCCTACAGCTGCAGCGAACGATATTCTTTCCTGGCAGCGAACATTGATCTGATAATAGCTGTAAAGAGGTTATTTATGGTGAACTGGTTTCCGAATACAAATAAATGGCCAGTCTAGCAACTCCACCAACACGTAGCTCGTTGAATCCCCTAGCATACTGTCAAAATGATTTGGATGTCATAGCTCTTCACACCGCAGGAAGAACCACCCGTGAAACTAAAGAATCACAAAACCACCGTCATGCAACACTGCCCAGTCACTTTTCACATCTCGAAAGCGCTTTGGATCGAGTTCTGTAACTTCCAAAAGCCTTGCAAGTAGGAACCCAGGCAGCTTGTGGCAAGGCAAGTTTAGGTACTTCACTGGCTGGACGGCTGGACAAAATGCTTGGCCTAGAGAAGAATGTTCACTATCAACATGTAGAAAGCATTTGGAGGGAGTCTCCAAATGACATCTTTCTGCAAACTCGGGATAAGAACATCACCAGGTGAGGAATACATTGGACCCCCGGTGTCAAGAGCAACTGCTTTGACAAACCCAAACATCACATAGTCTCTCTCTCTCTCTCTGTCCCTCTCTGCGTTGCCTCCCTTATCAGCTTCCACAACATCCCACAATGCTCCTATATCTTGCAGGCGGGGTGCCGGGGACGACTCTAGAACATCTAAGGACATCTCGGAAATATCCAACCCATGGCTTGTGACAAGATGCTCGCTGTCCAAGGCATGGCTTTCTGGACAAACCATCCGGAGATTGGCAAAAGAGACTTGGCGGAAGATGTCCCAAGGCATGGGAAGCGGCCAGCGAAGTCTCCGCCAAGGGAGCAGGAGAAACAAAATCACAAGAATTGCCAAGCCTCAGAACAAGGTCGCAACATGTAGAGCCTATGTCAGCTCCTCAAGCCAGCGATGTGAAGGAGAACTGGCGAAGCGGTGTCCGTGACCCAGGGTCGCCAGTTTTCTGATATGCCGAGCAGCTAAACAATCCGGGTGGACTAATAAGATATCTAATTTTCTCTATATGATCTATATTATGCACAAATCATGCCAAGACTCTAATCACCAAATTCACCACAGCGACGCTCTGTGATCCAGTGCTCGCAAAGGCCCCGAGACCTGTAGAGGAGCTCAAAAGACTGGGCAGCGATGACAAACTGGCCAGCATCTTGGAGAAATAGCTGGCATCCATCTCCTGAGATTTTGCGGCGAAAATGAAGCAAGGGCCAAGCAACCTGAAGCCTTATCATGCTCAGAAGCCAAGCGTCTACGGATCGAGGCCCCAAATATCCCACTAGAATTCCTTTGCTTTGAGCCAAACGCGAGGTCAACATTGTAAAATCTTCTCAGCAACGCATGGTGGATTTCCATTAATTTCGCTCAATACTCTTGGCGGATCTTTTTAGACTACCTGACTGACTGCATGGAATACACCTGAAATTTGCGACCCAGTTAGTTTGACTCAGTGCTTCGTGCGCCGCAGTGGACATACCCCCTAGATCAAGGCCCCAACTGTGAGCAATTGTAGCAATGCCTTTCGCGCCTGAAGAACAAATGGCGGCTGAAGAAAACAAAACGAGCCCAACTGTCAGACTCTTGCAGCTCTGCCCAGTGCACTCTCAGAACATCTTCTTACATCTTTACTGAAAGCAAAATATGTTTTCCAGCACATACATCCACATACTACCCTTTCACCAAAGGCTCGCACCTGCCGCTTTTGCGTCTCAGTACTTGGCCGCTGTGGCACCTGATGGAATTGGTGTGCAGCTTTGGCACGTCGAAGTGTTTTCTCCCAAGTCACCATCCCGCTAAAAGTGTTCTCGTTGCTCGTATGGATTGGCTCCCTAGATTTCTCCCGGCCAAAAAAATTACTTTACTTCGAGTGATCCCCACCATGGCATTTCAATCATTTGTCTTGATGCCATAGTGAGGAGCATGTTGCCATGGTCGTGAGTATTGTAGTTCTCGATTTTGCTTCTGGGTCCTCCGGTTGTGTGCTGTGGTTGTGTGTTGTGGTTGTGTGCTCTGTTGTGGTTGTAGTTGTGTGTGTGGTTGTGTGTTTGTGGTTGTGTTTGTGGTTGTGTGTTTGTGGTTGTGTATTTGGTTGTGTGTTTGTTGTTGTGTTCGTGGTTGTGTTTGTGATTGTGTGTTTGTGGTTGTGTGTTTGTGGTTGTGTGTTTGTGGTTGTGTGTGTTGTGGTTGTGTGTTTGTGGTTGTGTGTGTGTTGTGGTTGTGGTTGTGGTTGCGTGTTTGTGGTTGGGTGTTTGTGGTTGCGTGTTTGTGATTGTGTGTTTGTGGTTGCGTGTTTGTGGTTGCGTGTTTGTGGTTGTGTGTTTGTGGTTGTGTGTTTGTGGTTGTGTTTGTGGTTGTGTGTTTGTGGTTGTGTTTTTGTTTGTAGTTGTGTGCTTGTGGTTGTGTTTGTGGTTGTGTGTTCGTGGTTGTGTTTGTGGTTGTGTTTGTTGTTATGTTTGTGGTTGTGTTTATGGTTGTGTGTTTGTTGTTGTGTTCGTGGTTGTGTTTGTTGTTGTGTGTTTGAAATTGCTTCCTATGGTTGAGGTCCAGCGGTGCAAACTGCGATCGGATCCTTGCGGTTGAGGTCCAGGGGTGCACACTGCAATCGGATCCTTGCGGTTGAGGTCCAGGGATGCACACTGCGATCGGATCCTTGCGGTTGAGGTCCAGGGGTGCACACTGCGATCGGATCCTTGCGGTTGAGGTCCAGGGGTGCACACTGCGATCCGGAGCTTGCCAGACAAGATCGGCGAAGCAGATTGGCGAAGCAGATTGGCGAAGAAGATTGGCGATGAAGATTGGCGATGAAGATTGGCGATGAAGATTGGCGAGGAGGTTGGCGAGGAAGGAAGCAAGGAGGATGGAAGGAAGGAAGAGGAAGAACAACTGTGATAAAATCTAACAACCCTCACCTGGCAGGTGGGGAACAAATGAGAAAAAGGTGCCCTCCCTTCAAGTCTACCATCGAGCACCTGCCAGAAAAAATGACAGTATACCCTGCTTGTAAATACAAAATGCATTGCTATTAGATATTGGATTTTTGGGTCACTTTGGCAAGGACCGGGATGTTCTCCACGAACAAGGATAACAGCAATAATGAATCACTTCAACTCTTCACTAACATGATTGGAAGCAAAACTGCCAAGACCTGATCTGAATGCAGCACTCACCTGACCAATGGTGCCTTTCTCAGGCCCCCCTTCCCTTCTACAACTTGTCACTCCCGACAGCAGGATGATCGCTTGATGTCTCATGCTTTTTAAAGCGTCGTCTCATCTGCCGTACTCATGTGGGAAGATGGGAATCACAGGTATCAAGTGTGGACAATGTCCACAGCTTGTGAAAATGCATGTGAGCTTCAGCTGGAATGCTGCTCATGGCGTACTAAACACCATGCATCGCAGCTGTGAAAAAGCCCATCAATGCAAAAAAACACATTCAGATCGTCCTCACGATCCCAAAAAGCCATCAACGGAGCTTTCTCAGTTGAATGGAGGCAACACGAAACACATGTCAGCCACTGTCAGCCACGACCTCACGTCAGCAGCTGATCATCGGTCCACCAACTCCAAATGTTCTGGAGAAAATGGATGATTCCACTGATACCATTCTGTTTGGTCTGCTTCCTGGCGGCACCCAGTCGGGCAGGAGTCTTCTTCCTCTTCGCCTTCATGGATCAACGAGAGAGTGGAGTTCCTGTTAATCTGGTGATTTTGTGCCCCTTTCCTGGGCTCTTGCTCCACCGGCGCTGGCATCACTGGATCACTGAATCTGCCGGCAACCCGTTGGCCTTTCTGGAAGGCAAGCGACTGCTGAAGCCCTCCTGCGAAGCCTCCACGGCGGATAAGCTGTCCTTTCACTATGGCGCCTCTCTCATTAGACCCTAACGTACGTTCTGCGGCTCCACCTCTTCTAGGGCTGGTTGCTGTGCTGGTGCCACTCCCCATGGTCGTTGCACCCACACTGAGCGATGTTCACTAGGGGCACAGGAGCTTGAGCCAGAAACAGGAGGCAAGCTCATATCAAATGGCAATGAGCATATATGAGCATAACCATTTCGAGCGACACTACAGTCACTATGCTGTGTGCACTTTGTCTCTTTCTGCACGCTCACGACATTGCTGCAGCGACAATGTCTGGATCACATTCTGGCTGCCTCGGACAGGAGTCCATGGGGGATTTGCTAATACACTGCATGGCATATGACAAAAGAACCAGAAGGTTGGTGCAACCGGGAAGTTTTTTGGGGGGTCAAGGGATGCAAATGAGTCTTGCATCGTTGTAGTGTTTTGTATTGCACTCTTGTGTGTGTTCATATATGTTGATCCCCTCCTTCACCAAGTCACAAATATCGTCCTTGTTGGTGCTTGGCCTTCCTTGGCTATGGCTATAGGCCAGCTTCGAAGCTGGCGGCGCTAGTGCAGGTTCGATTCCACTCTCGTATGCGGCAGAACCCTTCATGAAGGTCATGGCGTGCAGCTGTCTTTGACATGTCTTTCATGTCGATTATGTTGGGCTCATCCATCTCTCATTTTCTAGGTTTTTCCATTAATTACAGTAGTACCTATTATGACATCATCACATATATTTGGCAAGTATCTCCTGGCTTTCTCTGCTTGTTCTGACAACCTCTTCCAAAGGCAGCACGTCAAATGCCAGCGTATCGACCTGACATTGCGCAACAGCACAAACCGGCGAAGCGGCTTCGCAAGCTGCATTTTGGACAAAATGGAAGTGCATTGAGGTGCAACATGTTCTGCATGTCTGGAACGAAACATCTCGCCGTATGAGTAGGATTGCGTAGCATCTGGAATTCTTCAGGCAAAGCGACTCGCATTTTTCCCAAGTAAAGAATAGCCAGCGAAGCCAAGGCCTTGACTGCATGAGGAATAAATATATATATATATATCTGAAGCCTCTTTCATGCTGGCATCTTGTGCTACAAAACCTGCAGTGCCCTCATGGTGCATGAGTCTGCAAATCTAGGCCAGTGGCCACTAAGGGTGGTCCCAGCCACTGCCGGCTTTGGCTGAGCATCTGAAGCACACCAGTCATCAGCAAAATGTAAATTGTGATCACCTGAGTTTGTGCTCAAGTGAACACAGGACAAAGCTCACAATCTTACACAAGACAGCTCAGCGGATTCTCCATGCGATCAAGCAACCAGAAACAAATGATTGATGCCGTTGACCCAAAGCACCCCCCCAGTGTCTGGCTTCTTTGTCTCTGCATAGACTACCTGCATGCACAAGACCACCTGCATAATGACCGACCAAAAGTTCACTTCATCCTGCAGAACTAGTCTCTAGAAGAAATAGTCATTCTCGTGATCTCAATAGTGGTGAAGTTGTGGCAGTGGCGGTAGTGGTATTGGATGGTATTGGTAGATTAGTAGCGCTGATGGTTGCGGTGATAGTGTGCTGGCAGCCGTGCGGGCACTTTTAGGGCTAAACTCTGACAAAAGTGTGCCATTGAACTTCCAACCACAAAAGTCGGGACTGGAGAGCACATGCGGAATACCACACAGCATGTGACCATTCAGAAGCCAAGCAGCCAAATAGGTATACGTTGCTTGCGACAGTGTCAATGAAATGAACGCGAAGACAAAAATCAAAGGAGAGCAAGAACAAAACCTGAGCTTCAGCCGTCGAACACCCATCCCATAAACCGTCTAAATCATCGAGCGATGTCTTTGGGACACGCAAGTGGGTTCGCCATGGTTTGCCAAAGGTGTTGCATGGCCCTGTGTCACATTGGCTGCCTGAGGCATCACTTTTAAAATCTGTATTGTTCGTCTGCCAAGTCTCGTGAACGTGATGGCGGCAATGAGCAAAGAATATGCCATTCGTGCTCCCACTCCTGGTCTGCGCCCTCAACTGGGCGATATGTATATAGCATGATATAATGCGTACCCTGTAAATACTTATATTATATATATATATGTATATAATACGGATATGATATATGACTATCTATTGTATCTATCATCTATCTATATATATACATATATCTGTATACTGTATATATTGCACCACTGGTCACTTGAGCATTGTTTTGGGGAATTGTGTGGGGCTGCTGGTATACTAGAACATCTAAGGTTCTGTCGCAAGCTTTCGCGGCTGCAAAGGGTGCTTACACGGACAGTGATTGAGTTCTTTCTAGTGGTGCTTGGGCAAGCGCTTTCACCGTGCAATTCGTAAACCAGCATCAAACCAAACAAGAGAAGAACGAATGGAATGAGTTGAATAAGTATTAATAAGTGAATATCATCTTCGAGTGTGTTGTTGTCTCGATTTGCTTTGGCCGCGCGAGGCTACAAGGGGCACCTAACAACCCTCATACCTGATGCTCATGCAAACTTAGTGGAAGCCGTGTGCTGGGAAGGTTGCCAATGCCAAGGCTCCATAGCTGGCAGGGTCTTCTGGCTCCCCATATTCCTTGGCCTCCTGGAAGCATAAAGATGCCAACAATGTCAACTCGGCCGCATCAACTCAACATACCAACAAGATGGGTTTAGCACGCCGCACGCCAAGGTTGTGCAATGTTGTGCACACGGCTGGAAACATTAAGACAAATAGGACCCAAAGACTTGCCACAACAAAATAGAAACATAAAAAACACAGGTATCAAAAGAAAAGAACACACATTGCCAGTAGCATTTTTTGTTTGGGATTGGGCGGTTTGATGCGTGGTCAAGGGGGCGCGAGGGAATGGAATCCAATCATTTCTGAGGATCCCAAGGCTTCCAAAGGCAAATTGCATCAAATTACATTCCACGGCAACGAATTCTACGGGAAAACTCTTCAAACACGGACCCACCTGCAAAGCGAGGGGGCCGTGGGGGTTGTATAACAAGGGGCGCGTCTGATACAGTAACTGAAAGAAGTACGTTGTAATACACAAAGGAAAACACAGTGAGTTACAAGCACGTCATTACCCCCCCATCTCCCCACCCCACCCCACCCAACCCCACCCGACAACCGAACCACGACGTACGTGACAGGCGCAAGGGCGGCGTATCAGCTGCGTGCCTATAACAACGGCGGCTCATATCTTGTCACTGGGGACATGCGCATCCATTTGCTACTAGCCTTGGCCCAACTTTTGTTCAACTACCGGCAAGCCCCAATCCACTAATCCACAAATGTATAGTTGGCAAGCCTCAAGCAATCTCCCAAGCCTTTACAAAAAGCCTTGCTCCGGCGGTCCATGGCGGTCCTGCATGGACATGGAGAAAAACCAACGAAAGGCATGGAACCTTGGTTAGGCCAAACGAACGGCATGCTATCACACAAAGAAAGGCAGTACTCGCCTGTGAGTGAACGAGGCTACACCCGTACCTCACCTCTTGTGGCATCTCATCTTAACGCATCTTGCGAAGTGAATGAAACGCATTGCGTTATGCTCCCTATGAGGTCCTATGCCACTCAACCGGTGTCAACTTGCATTTCGACACCGGGAATTCATTCCGTTCCGAGTTTTTCCTCTGAGCGCCAAGAGGCTTCCAGAAGTTGGAGTTTCGGATCAGCTCTAGAACAGGGACCTGAGTCCACATCGGCAGTGGGCCGACCGAAACAGGTTGGATCAAGAAGGGCACCTAATTATATATATACATAACTCTCCACATCCCTCGCATCCTACTCACACTCAATCCTGTAGGCATCAGCTTCGATGATTCAGAACTCAATCCCTTATTTTTCGTTTTTATTGAATTGAAGTGCAAGTTTTCAAGCGTCCATAAAGTATTCGACCACTGACAACAAATCACTCTCAAAGGACGACAATGCAGGCGATCCGTGTGAAGTTGGGGTATATATAATCTCCTAGTAGCATTCAATGTTCCTAGCAGCGATGCCCTTTGCTCCTAGTAGCTTCTTGCTCCTAGTAGCGATGCCAGGAGCCCTTAGTAGCTTCTTGCTCCTAGTAGCGATGCCAGGAGCCCCTAGTAGCGTCCTTGTTCTCAGTAGCGATGCCAGGAGCCCTTATCGTTTCATCATCAAGCCGAATCTTGGGCCAGTTGGCCCATCACCATCTCCCCATCGCACGACCTAAATTACGAGACCTATCATTCCAAGGCAAAGCCGCTAAACTTAAACCTAAGCATGCAGGCAAAGGACATCTATGTACTCAAATAGGATCAAATTGGTAAGGGCATGTTGTCCACATCTTTTGGTAGTTCAATTCAAGTTTGCTTTGTTGATGTTCTTGTTTTGCCATGTTATGGTCAATTTTGGTGATGTACATATACAAAAATGGAGTTCTTTCATGTTGCACATCCTTTTGATTTTGTGAGTGACTTGTCTTCTATGCCCTATGCCTTCCTTTTGCACTGGAGCTGAGGCTGATGGAGAACGCTGAATACAGTATCTGATGTCCTATTCTTGCCCCAGGTACCGTCCACCCGAGGATGATGTAGTTGAAATAGAAGTGGGAGGCCTCAGCTTAGCAAGTGCAATCACAATGCGGAACTTAATATCGCAACAAGAACTTGTTGAGCCGGACAGGGATGGCCTGGGTAAGTCTTAAAGCCGCATTGAGCTCTCATTATTGCAGTTGAAGCTTACCAAAAGGTCCCAAGAGCATTGATGTCAAAGGTGTCATCTCTGTGCTGAGGACATGAATGGTCGTTCAAGGTCATTGCAACAAACTATGCTGGGCCTCAGGCAGATGGCAAAAAGTCTGCCAACAAGCTAAAGATTCGACCGGGCTTTTGAGCAATGCTGACCTCGATCAGGCCAAAAGGCAGCCCAAAAATCCATCATTGCAAATCATCCAGAAGTCGGAGCTTGTTCCAGCTTTGTTTGTAGACGAGTTATCCTGGGAGAGCCTTGGCCCCCCCACCAGTGTGAGGGTGACACCACGACTCAAGGAAGTCACAAGCCTTGGCAAATGATCTCTGCGGCGATCGTGGCTCCTCACTTGGCGACCAAAAACATCTAGATCTATGTTGCTTTTGGAGCCGGCTTTTAGCAGCTGAACACTCTTGGCGCAATGTTGGGCCAAGCTGCAGCACAAACATGACCTCAGGCTCCATGTGGGTCAGTGGACTTGGCTCTTCGGGACATGTGGGGCGTTGTAAGAACCCCATGTCTATTGCAATACCTCGAAACCATGTTATCGTGTTTTTCTACTCTTATCGTTTTCTCAGGTGAAAGCATCTCTGGTGGAAGATCACAAATCAAAAGATGTCTTTGGTGGTCTACATGGTCCTACTTCAGGATCCCGTAGCACTGCCTGCACCAAGGCGTGCACCGTCTTTGGTGGTAAAGACATGGCAGCAGCAATGATCAGATATAGACAGCTAAACAAGACTACCACATCGCACACGTCTGCCCTTCAAAAGGTCTAACGAAAACAGAAAGACCACTTTGCATCGTTTCCCCTCCACCTCCCAAACAAGTCAAGAAAAGAGCATTTGTTTTCCGTCGTTTGGGCGATGTGCAAGAAATCTCTTGCTATGGTTTTCTATTGAGAAAGGGGGGCAATCTATTCGTCGTCATTGGTCACATATTCTATGTGACCAGCATCACATATTCTATGTGACCAGCAACAACTTGATGATGAACTTCAGATTTCTTGCATCCACTCACCAACGTACCATCGCCCTTCCATAGCATTTTGCACATCTCTCTTGTTCTTCACTGACTTCATCTTCCTCATAAATCAATTTACAATGGCATGCTGCGTCGATCCAAGGCCATCCACAGGCTGTCAACCACAGCTTGGGATTCGGGTTTGCACAACTTGCCATATTCACTGCGCGCAATTTGCCGGACCTTTCACTGATAATAGCAGTTGGTCTCATGGCCTTTCGAATTTCTTCTCTCAGCTCTTCTTTGTTCTGTACGATTGGTTCGGGCGACATTGATTTGCCCATCTGCGCTTCCAGCATTTCTTCGGCACGCTTCAGATGTTCTTCAACACGGTCAACTCTGTTCAATGCAGCAGACACCAAGTCGCATGTCGACAGAACGTCTGACATCTGCATGTCGGCTCTCGGACGCTCTGCCCATGAATCTTCAATATACTGCCACACCACGTTCGAGTTGTGTCTTGACATCCATTGTATCGAAGCCACCGGCACCCCATTTCGTGCCAAGTGCTTCATTCCTCAACGCCTGGCAAAGTGCCCTGTCACTCTCTCCACTATCAGTCCTGCTGCATCGGTCAGCTCCTTCTTCATGAGGCTTGCGAACTTCTGAGCATGGCTGATCATATCTTCTTTCTCAACAACTCTTCTTGGATCCTTCATTTGCCCGATCAGAGGAACACCTTTGCCGGACACCTCGCCCTGGCTTCTCACTCCAAGTCGACTAAGTTGCAGCTCAAGTAAATTCTTCGCGGTGTGAAACGGGCAAGTGAGCAAGGCTTCCTGCGCACATCGACATGGGAGCGCTCTCCATGCCCTGTTGGCTTGTGGGTCTGTCTTTTGCACTGGCAGGTGTAAGCCTACCACTTTGTTATACTTTGTTCATGAAGTCGAATCTGATTCCGTTCGTGTCCAGGGTGAGGCCAGCCAATTCTGTTTCTCTCAGCACAAATCTGGTGGCAAGCGCCCAAACCCATGCTCCTCCAGCGGGCTCTCTCGCAGAGAAGTTCAAACAAGATGGCTCAAACCCGAACAGTGTCATTACTGTCTTCCACCATTCCAGCTTGATTTCTTCTGCTCTGGTTGCTGGCCCCTGTGCACGCTTCGCCACCCTCTTCACATCACTAAAGAACATGTTCAGCTTGCTATCCCAAACATATCCCGCCTTGATGTGTCTCGACTTGGCTTCCTGGACGTACGTCGTCACCGCCTTGTATCCGCTAGCTCTCAAAATGGCAACTACTTCAACAATGCTCTTCTCAGTGACAGGTATGGCCTCCAAACCTATTTGCCTGCACACTCTCTCCCATAACGAAAACAGGGACTCCTTGGTGTTCTGCATGGTAAGTGCTAACGTCAGGCTCCCAAACCGCTTCACTGCCAGTTCCTTTCTGGCTGGATCAGCAGCAATCTGCATTGCCAGGCTTCCTCGGCCAAGTCTGTTCCCGTCTTCTACTTCTTCATCAGACCGACCCAAAGCACGTCTAACAGCGATCACTGCTGGTGGGATTTCTTCCTTGCTTGGCAGCACACCTGCATACGTGAATGGGGTGATCACGGGGCCTCTCGCACCTTTACACATTCTCCTCGACACCAAAGGGTCTGCGGACGTCAATGAAGGCTGTACCCTTAACATCAAACTACTCCTATCTGCCATATCTGAGGTATCTATACGTGTAACTACGTAGGCGGACCATCTTCCAAGTGACTACAGCAGGTAAGCGTATCCATCACCCATGCCTCCTTACTGGAGTGGCCCACAGAACACACCAACCTAAGTTTGTTGCCACTTCAGGCCAAGACGGCCCACCAAGTTCCCGGACTGCATTGGCAGGCCAGCTGAGAGCCTGCAGTGGGATTGCGTGCGCTAAGACCTACTCTCTCTGTGTGTTCAACTGCGAAGCAATCTCAGTGCACGTCATGTCTTCTAGAAGATTCCGTGAGGCCACCATTTTTTCCAACTCAAGTGGCTTTTGGCCCGCGCGCCGCGCGCGCCTCCAACAGCCGTTTTTGAGCCCAAAAAGGTGCGCGCGTGCGCGCGGACCCAAGCATCCAAAACGGTGACCTTCAAGGATCTTAATAATGTCTTTTTCCCCCCACCATGGCTCTCTTCATTCTTTTCACGGCCACGCTCGCAAGAATTGTTTTCCTCGAGGTTGCGGTGAAAGGCATTGTGCATCTCGCAACTGCCATGGTACTGCATCGCCAGGCCTGCAGGCGACTGAGGGCGTCAGCGATTTTGTTGCTGATGCCTAAGACATGTTCTGCGCGAATCTGCATTAGCTGATGAATCTCTATCTGCATACTAATCTCTGCAGCGAGCTGTACCATCAATGGCGACTTGGCTCTGTATTCCATTGCTGCTGAAAATGTGGCTGCGTTGTTGTCCCTGCCCTTCGAACACTGCACGTTCGGACGCTGGCCAAGACTAAGACATAGCTGGCAGACGTGAGCACGATGTTCACTGCAAGCAAGGTTCCTGACATGCTCCGGGCTGTCCTTTGGCCTTTGGCAAACTTGTAACAGATCTAATCTGGTATAATCTGGTTTCCATCACGGTCTGTCACAAAGAATTGCCCATATTTCGTGGGATTCTGCATCTTGCCTTTTCCCTCACTCTTCGCTGTACCAGCTCCCCTCCAGCTATAGGAGTCATACTGACTGGTCTGCTGTGGCCGCGATCTTCTCCATTCTTCCTCCCTTCTCTCCTTCTCTGTGTGCCCTTGTTGGGATTGGATGCATCCTTCTCCGCGTCCGTCATGTTCACACCATCAGCCTCTTGTCTGCTCATAGATCTTCCACCTTGTCGTGCAATGAATGCTTGAGCAGGAATCTGCACTTCCTGATTCCAATATGTCTGATCCCTTGCAGCGTCCAATCCACGGCTGTTGTACGTCGAAGTTGAGGTCCATGGGCAACCTGGCTTCAATCAATGTCAACGACCGACGAACCCTCTCCAAATGATCACTGCGGCATCTATCTTCTGCTTGTAGGATCAAATGCCAACATTCGGGATACTGCCTGTTCAATGTTGCAATCATCCGGTAGTACTCATCTAAGGCAGCCCAAGTGATCACCGGCTTCCTGTCACCTCCAGGCACCACAGGCTCGTGACGCAGCATCAGAAGGATAGTGCGGTAAACATCCCAACACGACGTCCAAGCCTGGAAACTTGGCGGTCCTGCCACCTCTGTCTGTTTCCGGCGCCATCATCTTGTAACAGGAAACCTTTGGCTTTCATTTGGCGCTGGGTGCGTCTGGCATATGGTGTAAGCACCGAGAAGTCCGCATATGGTGCAGATCCTCGAGTCACCACCTTGTTGATCATCACTGTCAACTGCTCAGCCGTCGGCTCTGTCTCCTTCACCGGACCTGCTCCCATCACCAGCCTGTATTGTGCATAGGCCTCATCAACCTCCGCTTTCCCAACCAACTCCAGCTCTGTATCGTCAAGTCGGTCAGCAATCTGAGAAGCCTTCACCTTTTGAATTCCCAGCTGCTTTGTACTGCCGCCCACTGTCAAGGGGATTGCTGAGGCTGCAATCGCTGCTGCTGCAGGTGACGCTAAACTTGCCACAACTCCTGGAGCCGCATTGATCTCTCGCCAGAGTGCCAAGTCCATTTGGCACCACCTAATGATGGCCTGCAAGCCGGTCAGGGTACCCATTTCGGTGTCGGTAGGTCGGTAAAGGACTGTTGGCCATAGCGACGCTGTCGATGCCGATCGATGGCCTCCAAGGGAACCTCACACGGCTGAAATTCCAGCGGGGGAACCACACCGCGCTTCGAAAGCGCCCAACCCAAGCCGAGGCCACACGCCAATCCAAATGACCACACTAGGACCAGCAAGGTCTCGAACTCAGTTCTTGAGCCAAAATGGAAACAACATCAAAGGAAGATTGTCGGTGTTCTGCCACCTGACCTCTGCAGTTTGTCTTTCCTACGTAAAGTTCCTTTCCTTCATTCAAATGGGTACTTGCCCACCAGGGCTGCTTTTCGCTACATTTCCTTATCGTTTTCGTTATCGTTGTGTTATCGTTCCGGGCACCTCTGCAGGTTGCCATTTTCGTGGTTCATGTAAACAGCTACAGCATGTGGACCAAACAGCCCATTCAGTTCCTAGTAGTAAGGCCAGGAGCCCCTAAGAGCTTCTTGTTCCTGATAGCGATGTTGCTTTGTAGTAAGGCAAGGAGTCCCTAGTAGCTTTTGTCATTGTTCTTGGTAGTAACGCCAGGAGTCCCTAGTAGCTTCTTGTTCCTAGTAGTAAGGCCAGGAGTCCCTAGCAGCTTCTTGTTCCTAGTAGTAAGGCCAGGAGCCCCTAGTAGCTTTTTGTTCTGAATGTCCAGGTATAATCATTGTTATCGTATTTTTACTCTTATCGTTTTCTGGGGTAGGAATGCATTAGTAGTGTTAAGGTGCATGCCAATACTAAACCGCTGAGCGCGGGGTTATTACAACAGCCCATGTAACACTGAGCAGTCGATGTGTCGAAATTCAGCCAAGCATCTAAGAACAATCCATACCATCTCCTCGGTCTTCCACTCTATAGAACAGGTGGGGGTGAATGGTCTGCATGCATGGGTGAGCAAATTGAAGGGAGTTTCCTGACTGACATGCTGCAGATCGCTCTAGCCAAGGTGCTGCATGAGAATCTGCACCTGCAAGTACAAACGACACTATCTCGCCGGAAGTCTCTTCATACATGTTCCTGCATGGTCCCTCTAGCCTTGCAACATGAACGCGGTGCAGTGCCCGAAAACTGTGCATGCGGCAGTAGGCTGAAACAACTCCGCCCACGTAGGTTGCTCTAACGAATCGCAATCCCTTCAAGACCTGCCTCAGTGGTAGATTTGACACTCATCAAGTTCCGGATGATGAGATATAGTGCTGTTGGCAAGAAGGCCAGGAAGACCTGTCTGGATTGCCCAGGTTGCAGTTCCATGCGTGCAGTTCCCTTCATACATGTTCTGTACAGCTTACCAGTTTTTGCTGTACAATTGAACGCCTTGCGGCCTTGCACATTATATAGACGATCTATATACTGTGACACCATTTGCTTGTGGATCGTTTCATTGGTTCATTGTGCCGAGCGGTTGACAAACTTGTTGATCACCACCCACTCAAGAACATACTTCTGCTACTAGTACATTGCAAAACTGGTAGCGGCCAGGATCAGCCAGGCCTTCAGGGCAATGGTCGCAAACACGCCGGTCAACATCCGATCCTCAGGCCAGGACATCTCTCGTCAGCAGCGGCAGCTCGTGGAGTCAAACTCGTCAGGCTTTGTGTCAGTGTAAAAGGATGTCGGCGTTTATGATCATTTATGTCTCTGTGGATGGTTCAAGAGACGCAAAATTGTGAAGGGAAGATTGCTGCCATAATTCCAGCCATGGATGTTCTTGCACCAAGGCCTGCGCGGGGAACAGCATCTTTCTCAGGCCCCGGGATCCACCTGTCAACCTCTCGTACTTGAATGAATTACGACCACTGAAGCAGCGAACGTCTTCATGTTGTTAACTGGTGACCGCCTTCCAACCTTCATTGACGGCAGCAATATAAGGGCACCCGGTAAGTCTGAATGCATCTCTAGCGCAAGTCAAAAATGAGTAGCCTTGAGTCGAGGGAGGTTCTCCTGAAGCGCTCCAAAGGTTGTCCAACCTTGGATGCTTCAACAAGTTGAGGGCATGAATCAATTGAGTGGTGTTCAAAATTGTCTATATATACTGTATACATAATTAAAATATGCAAAACAAACACCAGGCAGCAAAGTCCATTTTTTCGGACCGTCTTTTCTTGACCCTTGACGAACATGGACAGTGGATTTTCGAGCACTGCTCAATTAGGATATTAAAATTACACCGGCATAGACCGCTAATATCCCCAAATAACAACTATATATATCCGCCGACCCCAGCTGATGGGGGAGCGCCAGAGAATCACCGATATTTAAATATATATATATATATGCAGTCTCCGATGACACAGGCAAACAATTGGGAAGACCAGTAAGGAAACACACAGAGAGACAAGTGTAAGGAGACAAGCCGCAGCAGCACCGATGGACCAAACCGCCGATCAGCCACCCCGCCGTTGAGAAGTAAGAGCCCCGATAGCTGAAAGATAGCTTTCAGCGATCTGGGGAAGAACGCATAATCAAGATGATTCTGCCAACTGTCTGAATAGAATATAGCAGAATGCAATGTAATGCAGTACTGAAATATATATACTAAAATACATAGCCGCATAGCCCACACTGAAGCCTGTTGCACATCATATCCCGCAAAACTGCTTTGGAAGCTTCCACTACCCGACGTGAGTTGTTCCTGACTTGTGCTGAGCGGCTGGAAATCAGAACCACAAAGGGCACCCAAAGGGTAAATACCTGGGCCAATACGGATGCTGGGGCAAAACACAGTGAACCCCATGGACAGCACATAACACATCAAAAACAATCTTGACGCAACTGTTGAAAAGCATATCAGCTGAGGCCTCTTTGACAACTTTAACTGTTCACTTGGGCAAACATGCAGGTTACTGACCTTGAGAAGCACATTGAAACTACACAATTTGGGAGCCTTCGTTTCCACGTTTGTTGCTCCACACTCTCAGGGCCGAACACCCCAAATCGAGGCCACGCCCGCCCAGTTCCACCCAGCGGAATTCATCTCTTGATCCTTGGCTCTAGGTGATCTCTAAAACCATGTTACACCACAAAGTGCGCAAATTGCTCAGGGAAAGCCGAAGGTTGCTTTGCAAGATTGCTTTGCAGAATCCGTATGCTGTAGCATGGCTGCATCGTGATCATGCATGAAAGGCCCAAGGCTCTGCAAGATTTTCATATATCCTTAGATGCATACACGCAATGCTCAGGCAAATTCAACGGTAAGGAGTCTCCACCCTTCCACCCTAAAACTTCCAAGTGCCCACCCAGCACCATCTTTGTCTAAGAGTCAAATCATGAGGATCTGGTGGCATGGAAATTTGGAAATTGGTGACATCCCGCGTGTACTGCTCCTGGTCAGGGGCATCGAACATCGTCAACATCGTCTCGGGTCTTCGGATTTCTCCATGTCATCGTGGAGATTCGGTCCCTGGAAGCCAACCGTGAAGCCAGCTCCGTGTTGAAGGTGACAAAGCCCGTGGAGGTGCAAACCAAAGGATCGCCTGAGGCGAACCAAGACTAGACCCTTTGGGTAGTGCATTTGTGCATGCGAAGAACTTTACTGGCCAAAGGATTTGCGAAACACGCGGCAAAATTGTGTACTGAAAGAGATAGAATGAGGTAAATACAGTCTTGTTGGAGAATGTTGGATATATGTATATATGGTTATGTAAGTTATGTATATATGTTTGGACACTTGGTCCAACTAGGCGTTGTTAAACGGCGCGCTCAAACCGATTTGTTCCAGCAAAATGTCCAAAAAATGTTGCCAGCCGGCATTGATTGATGGGCATCAATGAAAACCAGTTTCGCTAAGTGGTCGCAATCTCTGTTCCATCTCAAGGACCCCAGCACTTCAGCTCGTCTAAAAACTGCTGCGTCTCCTTGAGTCCCATTTCGTAGGAATGCTCCACCTACACCTTCATACCAACACAGTATCTAGCAGGTGCCCCCCCCTCTTGCCCCTTTTTGAAGGCAAGGAATTGCAAAAATTTACTAGTGTGCAAGCCCACGATTATCAGCATCGTGCTTTTTGGAAATACAAATCCGTCTTTCTGCCTTGTTGAACTGGCTAGATGTTCATGTCCTATGCTACTCTACACTCTCCTTGACATTACTATTCACAACAAATTTGTTATTTAAGACATGTGACATGCACACTTCTTGACCTCAAACTCACCGGTGAAAACGGATGAAGAAGGTGTTCCAATGCCGCATGTCTTTTGCATGGCCTCGAGCAACAGCATCTTTAACACGTCTTTGCGCTGAAGCGACTTCTTCCGTGAGGAGCTTGACACGCCTCAAGTCAGTGCACTACCGAAAGCATGAACGTTCATTACCCGCCTGTCGACAGGCTTACGGTATTTTCAGATATATTTTGCATGTGTTGCACCAACATTATCTCCCAAAAGCACCTGTTCTAATATTTGTTGGGGACAACGATCCAAGGCTGTGCTGCAAGCCATAAGGGCAATTGTGTGTGCAAGCCCTGCTGATGACTTTCTAAAGTAAATGGCAGATTGAATATGATTCAATTCATTAGTCGAATCAGCTTGTGACAAACCAGGTTCAGCCAGGGCACTTTTGACATCTAATCAAATTGACCTTCTCCGGTTCGTTGCCTTCTGGAGATCCAGCATCCTCATGCATCGTGATTGTAAGAGTGAGGCTTATCAAGCAGAGTGAGGCCAATTTTGGGACTTGAGACCGGAAGAACGCTCGAACAAGGGTCTGAGCTTGCATGTGACTGAAGCCCATTGATCACCACGCGTGGTGATTGCATTGACCCCTCTTAAGGGTGAACCTAGCCTCCCAATGCTGCTTGGCGTGCACCACCTGGAGTCTGGCTTCCCTCAAGGCGGCTACCTGCAGGATTGCCCAAACACAGTCAGTCATCAAAAGCAAATAACTATAAATAACTTAAATAATAAACCAAACAGTTTTGATTTCTAGTCTCTTGTGGGACGACTCCTCGTCCCTGTCCGTCACCAAACAAAAATGGCCACTTGCAATCATGTAACTTGGCACAAATGTTGGCACAAATGCATGCACGACTTTCCTCGTGTTCTGACAATAGCGATAATAGCGGCCCCGGACGCTGAGCAGGCCTGGTGAGACAAGCGGCCTGTCCGCTCGGCGCGGTCAAATCACAACAGCAACTCTTGAATGGAGGTCACGTGGTCTGAGCAAGCACAACTGATTACCTTTGCTTGCCTGTTCGTGTGATCAGCCACCACTAGTCATTGAGCACTGCGCAATGTCATGCGAACTCTATCAACGACAACAGCAATCATAAATGCAACAGCTTCCACAATATGCCACAATCACCTGCCTGCTTTATATAAAGCAACCACATTCACCGCCACCGCAGCTATGACTCTATTACTCCTAGTGTTCTTCTTTCCAAAGCTGCGGCTACTTCTACAACTATAGCGGCTAGTCTTGTTTCTTGCAGAATTCATCCCCGCCACAACCGCAGTCTTTGTGAAATAAGTCGAGCAAGCGTTCTGGGATGTTCAGGGCTACCATGAATGAAACGGCGGTTAGCCTTTGAGATTCCAACCGAGCCACTAAAGGCAGGGAAACATCTGGAAACATATGCAAAACATCAAACATCAAACAAAGAAGCTAATGGAGACACTCATAAGCCATTGACCCACCTGTACGCCGCACCACATAAGCCCGCTCGATGACATCGTCGTTGAACACATTCGAGAAATACTGCTGCAAAGCACTGTCGGAGCGATACATCGGCGGAATGTTCCTGCAAAAACGAAGAAGAAAACAAGAAGGCAAGGGATGGCAATTTGTTTTGTTTCTTCGTGCTCAATTCAATACACCTGGATACACCTGGATCAGCATACGTTCAGCATACAACCATCATCTGTCACTGCTACACTGTTCAACGGTATCTAGCCGGGCTGGTGAGAAAAATGAACAAAAATTGTTGCGAGAATGTGCGATGTACTAGCCGCTCGCAACCAACCTTGGCAGCATGGACATGTTCACATCAATGACCCTGTTCTCCACACTGGTACCGCATGCAAATTCGCTACTAGCAGCTTCTCTTTGCTGGTAGCAAGAATGCTACTGGTAGTAAGTAGCGATGCCCTTGTTCCTAGCAGTTTCTTGTTACTACTAAGTCCTTTGCTGGACACATCTCACCACACGATTCCCCCACGTCGGCGTCCTTACCAGAACTGTGTTCGCTCGAGGGAAGGGAATGTCCTTCAACCACTGGTACCGTTTCTCTGTAAAATGCTCCTGCACACTGCGCCGTTGAATGTGCAATTAGAACTGCTCCAACACCCATCCAGTGTGCAACAGTTGGAGGCCCTGGAAGAAAAAAATCATCTTCCCATCCTCCCAACCCATGTAAGAACACCTGCTACTTGTGAATTTTCAAGTACCAAACAAACCTGGTAGTTGCCAATGACGTCTCCTGGCGCTTGGTGGCTGATATGTCGAAACCTGCTATATTGGTATTCTTATGTGTTTTTACATATCAGCCATAGGCTCCAGGAGACGTTCATGCCAATGATTTTACCATATTTTACCATGGGTGGGGGGGGAATTTGCGTTACTATTGACCACGAATCAGAGGGTTTGGGACACTGGTCGTTATGGGGCAGATCTGCAACGGACTGGTGATTGAACGTTTGCAGGCAAGCTATTCTGATTTGCATTGATTTGCTAGTTGCATACCTTTAGAGGGGGAAGTGAAGATGGTTACGTCCAAATCCTGCTTGGGCCAGAAAGAGAGAGCAAGGATCCAACGTGATCCTCAAAACATCAAAGAACAACGCTTTGCCCTGCTAGTACCGTCGCGCTGAGGGTCTTCATTTCACCTGGTCATTGCAGGGCTTTTGCAGGAATCACGCACTTTACCGCACAGATGGCGTTCACGAACCCCGCAAAGAGCCCAGGCTGCGGTGAAGCAATGCACGCCGCTGTCAGTGCGGAGTGACCGCTTGGACGCGCTTGGAGCTGCAACTACATTCCCCTATTGTCACCGACTCGTGCCTTGGAGCAACAAGCAGCATGCTTACTTAGATTTCCATGTTTTGTTCCCCTCATCCGGGCTATACACCTGGCAGGCTAAAGTTTATAGCGCAACGTTTTTTATTGTTCTGGTGGACACTGAAGGCCTGAGTGTGTCGAGGACGATGGAGCAGTCGAGAAAGGTGAGGATGCAAGTGCTGGGGACATGGTCGAGTTGGAAGAAGGCTCGAAGGCTGCGTTGCTCGCAAGACGACTGGGTGCACTTGACTTACCTACCTTCCGCTGCTGCGAAGCACTTCGCCTGAGATCATTACCTTTACTTTACTCCACGTACCGCTTTTTCCGAATCAGGACTGCTTACAGACCTTTTGTGCAAAGGTTCTTGCTCTAGCTGATATGAAGACTCGAGCAGTCAAGATCGATATGCTGACCAATCGAGCGCTGGAGGCGATCCACAAGTTAGGCCTTGAGGAAGCACGAATGCTGGAAGCAGCTGTATTCAATGAGAAGGCAACAGTTCTCAGCGGCGCCATGAGTTGGGCACTGTGTTCGACTATGGTGATCGGGCTCCTTGGCGGTTTCCATCCTTGGCTGCCTACGAACAAGTGACGTTGCCGTCTTTGGTGGCTGCTTCGTCTGGGTCACATGTGCAGGGAGTGTCTTACAGAGGTCGCTGACAACTTCTGCGGGTCTTGTCGGAACGTGAAGCTGCAGCGAGCAGGAAGGCCATTGCTTGCGACTTCCATGTCAAGATATTTGAGACGTACTTGATGTGAACAAGTCCTTGATTCGTACTTGACGAACATCCGAAACTAGCGTCCTACTTGACGACCCTATTTTTTGGACTTTTTCTTGTGACTGTCCTCCTGACTGGGTTTCAGTCACACTCTCGTCTCCCACCCACAGGCGCCAGGCGACGTCGTAACCTGGTAGTTAGGTGGCAACCTTGCAAAATCTTGCAACACGATTGAACATTATTGAACCACAGCGGAAAGACGTGCGCCAACCTTGTGAACTCAGGAATGCCGCTGCTTCAATGACTTCAAATGCACTTGAGCAAGACAACATAAGACAACTTTGGCTGAATTACAATTTGCTGGATATTGCCATGTGGTGGTTCTTCCTGGTTAGATAATTGGCCAAGGAGAGACCGGCCATCATAGGATTGAACTATTCAAACAGGCGACAAAATTTCCACGGGTCGCCGGCGTCCCTTCCCCTTTGCGCCCTTGGCGCCTGTGCAACTGCAATTGTCCAACTGGACGCGCTCACCACAAACCACACCATAATTGCATGGACCTCATCCCATACCATTGTCCTTCCAAGTCATGGACCAAATCCTTCTACATTCTATAATTAGCTAGAATATGCTAGAATCACTGTCTAGTGCGCGCTTTTCACCAAAGCCGGACTCGCATTCTAAGATGCCAGCCCATAGCATCCAATCCGGCAAAGGATCCCTTCCAATGTCGAAGGTGCTCAACATGTCCAGCATCTTGGAATTTTTGTGCGCCTGCCCAGCACGTAGGGCTGAAGCAAACAGCTGAGACTGCATCAGTCAACGCTCACGGCCTTTGCCTCTCATTTCTCCAAAAAGAAAGTTGAGGAAAAGTTAAGCAAAAATAAGTTATCTTCCCTTGATCACATTTCACTATGGGAAAGCCACGACATCAGCAAAACACCGACTCAGCCTGGTAATGCATCGGAAGTAAGATGACGGACAGCACAGAGCCTGACCACTTCAGGCTCATAGATTACTAAAAAAAGCAACACGGCAAGCACCCGCCTATGACAAAAAATATTCTCCAAATGAGGCGGCGAAATTCCAGAAATGCCCATCCATCCAAGCCAGCTGCGCTGATCTGAGTCAAATCGCATGGCTCAATGAGTTAAGTTGAATCAAGAGTCCCAGAGAAAAAATAACACAACAGGTTTTATGTATATACGTATTGAACTCCTCGAAAGAACATGAACATGAATGAATGATATAATATTAGCCAGCATTGCAGGCCAAACAAGCCTCTGAACAAAAGAATTGAAGCCTTTGGCCTCGTCTTCCGGTGTAGTTTGCCGCACTTTCTTGATCCAATCGAAAAGGGTCACATGCCTTAGTTTGCACACGCCCCTCAAGTAAATCCAGCCAAGATCGCCAACAAACATCGTATGCCCTTCGTTGAACCCATAATCTGCAACGTGATGGAACATGTGCCTTTGAGTAAGGCAGTAGTGCCAAGGGCAGTTGAACTCTCTCTCCCTACGCTGCAGGTAGCTTCCACGAACAAGCTCCATTCAATTTCAAGACATCTTAAGACGTCATATCTTGCATCTGGCAGAATCCCAAAGTGGAATGCAAAACATGCATTATTCATCTCACTAGTACTAAAATGCGCGAGAAAGGCACGGATCTGCGAAATGCCTGTGGCGCAAGGTCAATCAACATTGGCAAAGCTAACTGCGCGCGCCGACCGAGTTCAACAGTATTCTGCCGTGTACACCGACCTCGCGGCCGTGCCCGGGGATACATCTGAAGCTATGGGAGCCAGCTCCAAGTCAGCCTGCACAACCGTGTTGAATGTTCCACTGGATAGCACGAGCCCGTTTGCTCAGCGAATCAGCTTTCAAAACAAACAATACTGTGAACAATACTGTAAGACCGGGAGAAAGTGGGAATCCAGTGCCTTTCACTTGCACAGCAGTATAGGCACAAAACATTGCAAGGTGAAGACTCTGAATACCTCTTTGTAAGAGTCATTCTAAATCAATCTATTTAATAAATATATATATATAATATACATACAAAACCCGTTCTTTCGGCTGATGCCAACCTGATTGCAAAGCCTCTGCAGAGTTTTGAGATTAGCTTGGCCACACCATCTGCTGTTTCCAACTGAGCTTGGAACCTCTCGAATGTAAACCCATGGCACCAACTTCCGCCACAAGCAAAATACCTCTTAATCACTGAAACAGTACTTTACCTTGATTTGATGCATCTACTCTGACGCGTGTCATGTCCGAGCGCGTGTCATGGGCACTGAAAAAAGCAGACCGACGCCGAAGAATCCAATGGAGAGAGCACCGCGCAACATGCGAATATCATCTTTGCCATTGAGGACAACACCCATCACCTTGGCCAATACCGAGTATGTATCAACACTGTTTGTTCTGGAAATTGTGCCGCTTGAAGATGCTTGAAGCCCCCATGCCCTGCATACTTCGAGATATTCTAGAATGTGTCCAACCAACAGTTTTCACGACAATTTCACGACATGCGTTGTACGACATGTTTTTTAAGGCCCCATTTCCACCAGCTCTCAAGGCTCCGACTCTGCTGGGTTGCTGTTCTCCTTGGTTTGTCAGCGACACATCCCGCCGCCTGCAACCTGTCGCCTCGACTTCTCTGGGCAATGCACACTCTCCCAGCTGTCACATTTGGAACTAATGAGTTTATAGATTAGTTTCGGACATGTCACTTGCCGTGTCAAGTATGGGCAAAATTCAAATGGACGTATAAGATCGTATAAGTCCGAAATCGAAGGTACATTTGACTTGGTCCAATGGTTCGGTCATGGTCATCCTGTCATTTGCGGGACTTGCGCATTCACGCCACCTTGTTCTCCCATGGATTTCTCGATTTGGCGGATTTCCCACTGCAGCGCATCTTCCAGCGTAGCAGCCTCAGGTTCGGGCTATGGTCCTCACGCCGAAAGATCTTACACTTGAGATACTGTAGGTGCAAAATGCACATATCACTTGTCACCACGCGGCTATTCTAGGATAAATCAAGTACCAAGCACATGATTAGCAAAATCGCATGCGAGAATGCCCAAAGGGTGTCAGCCAAATCTAGGCAAGTGACCAAGTCGTCACTTGGCTCAGCCCGTTTCCTAAGTCGAAAATGCCCAATGAAAGCTTCCACCAGTGAGTTGTGTTACAGTGTTGCATGACGCCGCTCAAGAGCCATCAGTGATGCAGTAGTACACAAATCACCAACCACAATCCAAAAATGTGTCAGTTGTGATGCAGCATGCCCTTGACAATAAGGTGCTCACCAATCCTGAATTCCTCCGGGTCGCTGATTTGTTGTATTCCGGCCCTGAGCTTTCCTCCAGGGCGGTAGTTTCAAGAGCAAGCCCGGAACACGCATTCCTACGCATGCATAAAATTGGTCACAAGCAACTTGCTGGTCGAGCACTCTGGCTTGTGATGCCTCTGTCGCACGCACTCCCCTTTAGCAACCACATGTCCTCTGCAAATTTTGACTCACCGTCAGCAAGGAGGGGGCCTGCAGCATTCAATTGCTGCAATGGCGACAATTTTTTTAGTGGCTCCCCTGGTGCCCGAAGTGAATATGTCAAATCAACTACTAACTAGTAACTAGTATTCATGCGCTCAGTGGATAGCGAACTCTACTGCCAACAAACTAGCAAGAACTATGGTTATGATTGGCACGACAGTCACAACATGTCACAACAACAAACTGCAACATTAAAAACTAATCTAGATTTCAGGTTCGACTCCTCTCCTGCCCCTAAAACTCAATTACTCTTGGGACTCGCGGCTGAACGAACTGCTTTCACAACGTCTGCCGTGCAACTCTCAGGTGATGCACTGCCTAAGTTGCAAAGGCAGCACGGCCCAAATCAAACCCCATGTATAATTTCCTCCACTGTGAGTGGGGGTAGGACGGGCTACTACTCTTTGTCATTGCCATCAATACGACAAGTATCAAGTATCTGGCAGGATCTCAATGGCACACCAAACTCAACTGCAAAAAAATGTGCCAGCATGCACAAGCTGGTAGTTGCACCCTTGTCCCTGGTATGTACATCCGGTCATGTGATGCAAATAATTGGCCAAACATGATCGACTCAATCGACCAAATCACAGAGAGGATCCTTGGTGATGCGGCCCAAGGAGCAAAGATATGGAGACAACAATGCCAAGCTTCTCCAGGGAGCACATGGCATCTCTGTTGCAAGTTTCCTTAAGCGGATCAGAGTGGTTTTCCTTATCGCGTGAGTAGCCTGGAGGCAAGTTGGAGCCTCAAACGGCTATGTGTCAATGCGTCGAGGCGACTTCAACTCCTGCCAGCACAAACCAATATTTAAATATATATATATAGAGAGAGAGAGAGCTATATATATACTATATATACTTTTGTTGTCAAACAGTTAGTGTCAAAAGATATATATATATATATGTATACATACAGTAAATATGTGTTGTCAAACAGTTAGTGTCAGAAGAAATTTGCAAAAATAATGCAAACAGTGCTTATGGAATATATAGGACAAACATGGAAAGCTGAAGGACTTTAAAGGAGGATCGACATGTGTATGAATTTGTAAGAACCTTGGGAACATACCTTCGCCCCTTGATCATTATCGTGCCGATATCGGGTTGGACTGGCACCCGCTCTTCTTCCGGGCGGTTGTCCGTCCATTTCTGCAAGGATTGCACCTTGGAGGTTGCGACTCGAAGCTTCGAGTCGTGGCGCCCACATAGAGCTGTAGTAGGACGAGCAAACATAAAGAATGAAAGGAGCATCCTGAAAACACACACACACAAACACTTAGAACAACAGCATTGAGGCCAAGACCAGATTCTCCAAAAGTCCAGCTTTAAAATACCTCAAAAAGCAATGCCATCTGTGGATGTTTGGTCTAAGACTCGACCATCAAACCATCACATCCAGCCAAGCACAGAAAGAAACCCAACAACTCCATCCAAACACACACGTCAAGTATGAATATATTGCAAGTAAGACACGTACGTCTGCACATGCAGGTTCATGAAATACTTAGTTTTGTGATAATGTGCTATGTATGAATCTGATTCGAGGCATCATTGCAGTTCCAGGACTGCTTCACGTGCAATCTTCTCTTGAAAAGCATAAAGGGGGAGAAAAAACAAAACCTTAAACAACCATGGCCAAGAAGCTTTGAGAGGGATTCCACCCAGTTGCGACGCCACAAATTGCGCAGCCGGGAGGTCTCAGCCGAGAGTGTTTTGAAGCCAACTATGGCCCCAGCCGCTGCTGTCTCTTCCAGGACGAATGGTGAAATATGTTCAAGTTGAACATGACAACCAAGGCTAGGCATATTTTCCAATCAAGCAGGGCTTCGAGTCCTGGAATCCTGTTCACTTGGACAATGTGTTCACTTTGATGACAAATCATTCTGATCGTGTTGCCCCATGAAGCATGCAGCGATCTTCTTCTACTGGACGAAGTCTCCACCCCTCTAGCTGTGTATAATTGCACAGACCAGTCATACTCTCCGGGCACCCCTGGCTGCTAGCTTGCACAAAGCTGGATCGAGTAATGCCTTGAGGTCCGAGCAAGCTTGACCAAACAAAACAGCCCGTGTACACCAAGGAGGTTGGGAATGGTTGTCGACCCAAACGTTCAGCTCGACCTTGTCACATAAGAGGCAGAAGAGGATGTTGTTTTCAGGCGATTTCAGGAAAGCTTCATTGGCCAGTTGCTGCACGTGTAGGTGAGCGAAGGCCTTCACCCTAGGGTGACATATAGGCTATATAATATATACTTGAGGCCAAGGGGGGGGGCGAAAGCTAGCGCTCCAGAATGGGAAAGTGGAGGGCAGTGAGGTAGGAAAAAACACGGCGCTCTTTTTGGAGGCAGGGGTGAAGAGTCCTTTATATATGGCTCTTTGCCCGGATCCTCCTGCGAGAGAAGAGAGAG